CAGAATGGTCCTCATGAGGTGGGAGGGGAGAAGATATTGTATGGGACAGCCCCCTAGTTTATCTCCCCTTCTTAGCCAGGAGAATCTGCTTTGGGTTGGAAGACAGGATACAGCCCACCCATAGGCAAATGACAATTCTGATGGTAATCAAGATGTCACAGATGACTAGACAGAATTTGAAGAAGTGGGTGTCGTTAGAGCCATGGGGCCCTGGCATGACCATTTGGCAGTCTGATTTGAGACAAAGAGACATTTTCTCAGCAGGGTTACCATTCCCATGCAGCCATCTGTAGACTTACCACTCCTCATGCAAAGCCCATAGCTACTATTACATGAATGAAGCCCACAACACTACAAGTAAAGAATCATGCATCTTTCAAGTTAGAAGTAACCTAAAAAGTTATCTAGTCTAGACCTTTGATTTGATGATATAGACAGAGTAGGAGTAACATGCTCAAGGCCAGTCAGAGGATTCATGGCCATGTGGGAATTACAACCAAGGCTTCCTGATTCCCTCTTCCGAGTGCTCCTTCCCAGTCCCTGGAAGAGATGAGAAGCAAAGTAGAAAAGTGCTTCAGCGACCAATCGGCCTTGACACTGATGCATGTGCCTCTCCAGTACTTTTACTTCTGTGGACCCCCACCTCTGGCCTCTCAGCTGGATGATGGGCAGCCTTAGTTTTGACCTTCTTCTGATGTAGCCGGATCTTCATTCTCTGTCCTTTGCTCCCCAGGCATAGAATGTAAGCAGAATCCCTAAGGGTTGAGAACAGGTACCAGTATTTTTAAAGTTCACCAGGTCATTCCAAGTGTGACCAAGATTGAGAAGTATTGGTTTAAGATCGAACACAGATCTAGAGGGCTCCCTGCTCCAGCCTTCACACACACCTATCTTTTGCACACAAATTTCCTTCACATTGTGCTCTCTTCTAAGTGTGTCCTGTACACACTTCTGCCTGCCATGTATTTAACTCAACCTGAAGGCATCCTTTTTCCTCCAGCTCTTCTGCCAGCTGGCTCCATCTCTGCTGATTCTTAAACCCCGTGAAGGGACTCATCTTTAGCCCAACTCATCTTTTTGATCCAGGCTACTTGGGCTGTGCCATGCTGACCAACCTCAGAATTAGCTACTCTGAGTAAGAAGCTGAGTCCTTCTTGCCCTAATAATCTGAGGAGAGAGACAAAGGTTGTATGGTATAAAGCACAGATACCTGGGCTGCCCCAAGACTATTGCATGTGCAGATGGGATGGGTGGGCACAGTTTTTCTTATCAGAGACTGTGGGATTCTTTAACATATCTGATACAAAAACAAGTTATAATATTGAAAGCAGATGTGTTCAGAAGAATCCATAAAATATTAAGGATCAGAGTTTCATCCACTTTATATGACATGCACTTGTAAAGTCTTTTTAGCTTTACAGAGGATAATAAAATGGATAGCCCACTTAAATGATTTAGAATGCATGTATAATTTTACACATCCTTATCCATGGAATCTTTGTCCACAGAAAACCACAACTGAATTTAGAATTGAAGGACTGCTATTCATTATTATTTCAAACAAAGGGAAAATTTTTCACTTTTATAAGAAAACTTTTTATTGAAATATCATATACATAAAGAAAAGTGCAGATCTGGTCTGCATGGCTCAGTGGTTGAATGTCATGGTTCGATTCCCAGTCAGGCTAGATGCTGGGGTTGTGGATTTGATCCCCAGAGTGGGGTGTGCAGGAGGCAGCCAATCAATGATTCTTTCTCATAATTGATGTTTCTCTCTCTCTCACTCTCCCTCTCCCTCTCCTTTCCTCTCTGAAATCAATAAAAAATTAAAAAAAGAAAAAGAAAAGTGCATATACCCTACATATACATCTCAACTTTTTAAAACTTTATATTTTAGAGTTGTTTTAAGTTCACAGAAAACTTCAGAAGACTTAGAGATTTCCTATATAACCCTTACCCTGACCCATGTATAGCCTCATCCATTCATTACCAACTTCCCCCAGCAGAGTGATAGATGTGTTACAATTGATGAACCTACATTATCGCCCAGAGTCCATAATCTACACTGGGGTTCACTCTTGGTATTGCACATTCTATGGGTTTGGGAAAATGTACAATGACATGTATCCTTCATTATGGTGTCATACAGAGTATTTTTACTGCCCTAAAATCATCTGTGCTCTGCCTATTTAACTCATCCCCTGCCATGATTTTTCAGTAAAGTGAACATTCTTATAACTAGCACCCAGAAACCAAACATTATAACTATTCCCAAAGATCGCCTTATGTCTCTTCCAGTTACTACTTGCCTCCTAGGGTAACCGCTATCCTGACATGAATCAGTTTTGCTGGGGGGGGGGGGGGGGGTTGCTGGGTTTTGTTGCTTATATAAGTATTATCTTATAGGTCCTATAGTATATACTATTGGAGATACTTCATTGTGCTCTGTTTCATTTCCTTTGACTTAAATTTGTGGAAATCATCCATATTTTTGTGTGTAGTTGAAGTTTTAACCAGAAGTTTAATCCTTGAAATCTATTTCAACAAACAGTATTCTGCCAGAAACTGTGCTCAGGGCTGGGGAGACAAAAGCAAATAAAGATAAGTCCTTGCTCTTACCAATCTAGTAATGTGGTAATGCCCAGAATTTAATGTAGAGTGAATTCCTCTTTGTTTAACAAATATTTATTCAATATCCATTATGGCACAGGTAGGATTATAGATGGTAGGGATAAGCAAAAACAAGCAGATAAAAATTCTAGTGGAAATACCTACGTTTTATTTCCCTGACATGTGTGGGCAGGTTCTGCCCACAAATATCCATTTCCCACTCTGTTTTACATCTGATTCAACATAAGGGGAACTAGTGAGAGAAGCTATTTCTCTGGTGACTTGAAGTGCATGATTATGAAATTTCTGGTCCACCCACGAGACAGTTGGTAAACCAGTGAGCATGGGAAGTATTTCTCTGTATCTATTTCTGCCTTATTCCATTCTCTCCACCCCTGATGCTGTCTGTACAGAATGAAATGAAAATGTGGAGCCTGAGGAAGACTTTGGATGATAGCTTATCTTGGAGTAAAGGCACATAATCTTCTTGTTTTACAGAACCACGAAGAGGAGGCAATTGCCAAAGTTGTGACTAAAATCATACACACTTGAAGTTGTTTTAACTAAGGGCATTTAAAATGTATGACTATTTGTCAGTGTTGACTTTTCAGTGGTGAATTACTTGAGTATAAAGCTATGACACTGGAGGGAGGGAGGTAAAAGAGAATACAATATCACTCCAGGATTGATAATTTAGGAAGAAGTGCAAGAAATCATCTAGTTTCATTTGCTTGGCTCATGTCTCCCCCCATTTTTATGAAAAATTTCAAGCATAAGCATATAAAAAGTAGAGATAATAAAGTTCACTCCCATGTACTCATTTTCAGCTTCAAAAATTATCACCTCATGCTCAATTCACCTCTAAGTCATGGCTGTCTCCTCCCCTGATTATTTTGAAGCAATTTCAGATTTCAAATAAGTTATTCATAAATGTTCAGAAAGTGAGGTCTCCTCCTTTTAATCTCCTTAGTTAACAGGCTCAGAGAGATGAAGTCACTAAACTAGTTAGTGTGTGTTATTTTTAATTGCTAGACTACAAAAGTAAAGGTAAAAAATGTTATAGCAGAAAATATTGAACTTTCAATAGTGCAATTAAACAGTGTATATGAGATGTGAATTGTCAAATTATGTCATGATCATGGTCACATTTTAGATAATAGTTATAGATGGAATATGAGATTCTCCTGCACAAGAAACTTAACATGTAGACTGAATGTTATTATAAACTTGTCATCAGTACATTTAAAACCTTATTTTTCATTTGTATTATTTTATCTATCGATTTCCAAAAATTAATGCTCACTCTAAAAACCCGCTTTGTGTTGTTTAGCCTATGATCACCTCTTTTAAGCCTCCCACTCAGGAAATTGGCAAGTTTTCCAAAGAGTTTGACAGGGTGTGAGGACTGCTGGTTAATGTTCCTTTTCATTGGTGATTTTGAAACCAAATCCCTGTGGATTTTGAATTGCAAATAAATTTGTCCAAGTTAGTGTTCTTTTCAACTATTTAGTAATAAACTGGATCTAAGACTGTTCCTAAGTATTTCCCACTCTGTTTTACATCTGATTCAACATAAGGGAAACTAGTGAGAGTAGCTATTTCTCTGGTGACTTGAAGTGCATGATTTGCTCATTATTTCACACCTTCAGCCTGTTCTGTACTTTAAGTTTATTTATTTTTTAAATTTATCTTTAGTGTTGAAAGTATTACAGATGTCCACTATGAGTTTTTTGTTTTTTATTTTTGTTTCTTTCCTCCCATTGACCCCCTCTCCCCTGCACCTGCTTTTCCCAAGCCTTTACCACACTATGGTCTGTGTCCATGGGCTATGCATATATGCATGTATGCAATTAATCTCCCATCCCCACCCCCACCTTCCCTCTGAAATTCCTGTTCTATTTTCATAGAAGGAGTTTAGTTGATGTTCATTGAGCCAGTATCAATGGCTCATCTAAGAGATATCATAGTGGCTTAAAATCCAGAAGCACCATTGTTTGGGATGGTCAGAATGTTCCAGAAGTTTTTAGGGCAAAGGAAAGATTCCTAGTGTGTGTTTTGTTTTGTTTTTGTTTTTTCATGAAAATGCATAAAATGTTGATTTGGCTGTCATAGTGCCCAAATTGTATCTCAAAAAGTTACCGAGGGAATGTGACATTCATCACTGGGATGAGTGGGCCACAAAGCCCGCCTTCCTGGGTGAGCATTTGGTGAGGAGATAATTGGGGATTTTAAAAAAGCCACAAAAATTACCTAAATAGATAACATTTTAGAAAGCAAACATCCAGGCATTTTTCTGTACACAACTCCCACCCGATTCTTTGAGAGATAAAGCAGCATAAATTGACAATCTGTCAGTTTAACCATTTTCATTGTGTACTCTTTCTGGGCAGGTTATTCACATCCAACTCCTTTGATGTGATCAGTGATGATGCTTTTATTGGTCTTCCACATTTAGAGTATTTGTAAGTAAAAACAACAACAACATTTTTTAACATAATGATTCAGGACAAGTGCTCTCAGATTTTTACAGCTGGCTGACAAAAATGTTATAACCTATTGCAGATTCATAGAAAACAACAACATCAAGTCCATTTCAAGACATTCTTTCCGGGGACTGAAGTCATTAATTCACCTGTAAGTATAAAAGTTACTATTACTTCTTAAGTTTGCTAATAACCTGTGGGAACTTTGTGGGTATTCCAGGAACATTTAAGAAACGAAAGCAATTTCTCTCCATGCACACTTGTATTAGCCAGTGTGTGTTCAGGAAATTGACTGCTATTAATATGATGAGTCTAAACCAATCTAGTGCAGGGCAATTGTGTGACTGAAATAACATTCTCATTATCTAAATCATTATTCACTTCATGGATAATTATGGGTTGATTGTATAGCTTAATTTGATATTTTTCTGATTTCTTTTTCTGTATATACCCTGACTTTATATATATTTAAACATATATTATAACCTCAGGCAACTGAACATAGTACCTGACAACTTGTTTATAAATTGAAATATTTAATTATTCAATGGGTGACTAGAGTCCATTGTTCTTAACAGGAGGCAATTTTGCTTCCTAGGGAACATTCAGCAATATCTAAAGACATGTTTGGACATGTTTGGTTGTCAAGCCTGGAGGAAGTAACTGCTTCTAGTAGATGGAGACATCGATACTTCTAAATATCCTACAGTGCACAGAACAGCCCCCACAACAAAGGATTCTACAGCCTAAAATGGCACTGTGCTGAACTGAGTTTGAGAAATCTTGATTAACATGAACCAAAAAAATTGTTTCTCCTGGCCTCCTGGCCTCCTTGCCCCCTTACAGACATACACACACACACACACACACACACACACACACACACACTCACATACACACAGATGTAATCTTCAGAAAACTACAAAGGCAAAGGAAGAAGAGACACTAGAATTTATAAGTGACTACTATTATATTGGTCATAATGCTATTCATGAATTTTCATTTAATCTTCTCAACTGTCCTGCCAGAAAGGCACTATAATCCCCATTTTTATAAATGAGGGAACAGAGGCTTGGAGGGGATATATGACTAGTAAACGGAGTTGTTATGGAATTACAATAACCTCAACTTAATAGTTGAACCACAATGCCTGTTCATCCCTTTAACAACTATTTCTGAGTGCCCACTATCTGTCTCATTAGTTCAGATAAAGATGCCTTAGAGGCCTAAGTGCCTGCTCCCTCACAACACGTCATTCCTAGCTCTGCTCTAGGCCCCAGGTGCAGCAGGGAACAAAGCAGATAACACTGCCTGCCCTTTGAGACTACATCCTAGTGTGTCCACCTGGTCATCATGCTACCTCTACCAGGCCCTGTCTCTACTGCTGTTTGGATTTGCATCAAGGAGGAACTGATGGCCCCTGTATTTTATAAAATCATTGTACCTTCCTAGGCTTCTGTATATAGTTATTATGATAAAAACAGCATTTGCAATGCTGCTCTGCACAATGTGATGCAAAAATTGTTGTGACGGTGTGAACGTTATGCCAAACACTGTCAAACCTGGTCTTTCAGGCAAAAGTAAATAAAAGAAACAAATATATGGAAGGAGGACCTGAAGTTCATGACCTCCACTTAGAGATCTATTTGATTCACATAAATCCCATTCAACATAACCTCTGTCCTGTGTCCTCTCTAGGAACCCATGATATAAGCCTGGCCATGCCTCTTAGTTCACTCAAGTCTACCTAGCTCAGCTGGTAGGGAAGGAAGGAAAGAAGGAAAGGCTGGAGGGAGGCAGGAAGAGAGGGAGGGAGGCAGGGAGAGAGCAAGAACAGAAGGAAGGGAGAGAACGGAAGAAAAAGAGGTCTAAAAGGGGGAGGATAAAGGAGAGAGGGAATAAGAGGGAGGAAAGAAAAAAATCTGTAAACACAATAGTGAAGAACATCTATTTGTTTGGCTAGAGCCTATTATATCTATCAACAAAAATGGAAATTTAAAGTTGGCTCATAATGAGGCCTCTTCTGTAGAGGTATGAAGACCATAAGGAAGGGACATTAGTACAGCATGTACTTAATATTTAGAAATTGTTGAATTCAAGAGAACACCAAAGGCAGCTTTAAAAGAGAGAGGCATGTATCTTAAGGGTCAAACAGACAGTGAAAGGGAAATCCCACCTCTCTGGCCAGGTCCTGGGAATGGAAAATAGGTATTTATGGGAACAGGTTAAAACTGACTGAGTGAATATAACCCTTAGATCTCTTGTATCTTTATCTAACACTGGGGTTGACTCATATGGCATTGCCAATATTAGACTGTTTTTGTCTATAAAAATGGCAATGCCATATGATTCATTCTAAATAGTCTCTAGGATGTGCCACACAAAGATGAAGGAGATCCAGTTCCAACCTGGAGGAGCTCAAACAGGAGGAATTGGACAAACAAATATGTTCTCTCTGGTGCCTTTGCCCCTGAGTTATTTATTTCTGCTCTTTTCTTACTCCCTTCTTTCTCCCCTCTCTCCTTCCTTCCTCTTTTCTTTCTTTTCTTTTCTTCTTTTTTCCTTTCAAGGAGAGATGATGGGTAGAGAGGATTTGAAATCCAAATGTTCCTCTGACTGCTCAGTACACCAAGTTCATTTTCCATTAATTACCACTTATAAATAAATCTGACATTTGTTTGAGCCATTAACTTCCTTTTTTAAGATTTTAGGTTTCAGAGTGCACTTTTCTCCACCTAATATTAATTCTTCCCAAAGGCAGATATTAAAGCAGTGAGGAACTATCACCTTGCACTCTAACTTGCACATGCTGCAGGAAGAGTTTACAAAGCTTTTTCATATTCTTGACCTCATATACTGTAATTTCCTGATGGCCTTAAGAAAGAGACGGTACAGTAGCACTACCTCTGTTGACAAATAAGAGCATGAAGATGCACTCTGAGTTTAAACTCCCACTGTAGTAAGCGGTAAAGCCAGAAGTTTTCCAAGGTCTTCACTGAGCCTCCCAGAGCCCTCTTCGCCATGTCCGAGGTAGCAGGACCAGAAAGCTCTTGAGCTAGTGGGATCCTTCCATGGGACATGATTTGAGGAGCAACCACAGCTATGGAAGAAAGATGAGATCCTGAAGACAGGCCCTATCCTTACTCTTAATTTTCAAAAGCAAATAGTTGGGATTACACATATATTTTAGATCCAAGTAGTTCCCATTCTAGCCTAAGATTAAAGCTGCTCTGAGGGACCTAGCTGAGCATTTATATAAGTTCAGTTAGCTCCTAAAAATGCAATGAACTAAAAAAAAAAAAAAAAAAGGCAATGAACTTATCTCACCTTCTTATACATGTCTCAATAGACTTATCTTCTAAAGAGACATTTATAGACAACTTAAAAATTACTCTATGAACCCCTGCCTCTCAAGCTAGCCCTTAAAAAAAAGGGAGAGTTCTTTATATTTAAGTCCTTACAAAGCAAGTCAAATTCTCTCAATTATTTTAGATACTGTCCTAATGTTATGTATGATTAACTTAAATGTTTGAATAGTTTACATATTTCAGTAAGGTTTGAATTTTTCTGATGACTGTGTATTACTTTTGAAATCAGGGAAAAATAATTTAAAAATAGTTGATGGCTAATGACAAAATCTCTCAACATTAACTGGTTTCTGTTAATACCCATAAGCTTTTTAGTAATGATCCCCCAGGGCATCCCATAAGTGTCACCTCAGCTAGGGCTCAATGGAGGCAGGATATTCGCATGCATTTGGGGAAAATTGTCATCAATCTATACATGCTGTGAAGCACATCCTGGTTGCTTAGCACTGTGGGAGTACAAAACCCATTAACAGAAGTCCCCAAACTAAGGTGCCTGTATGTTTCCAGTCAGGCAGCATGTCTTCATTTCAGCCTTCACAAGGACATGCATGTAGAGAGGCAGTGAGGTGTCGTAGTTAAGAGGGTGATCTGTGCCACCAGACTGCCTGGGTGCAAAGCCTGGAGTTACCCCTTACCAGCTGGAGGACATCAGAGGTCATTAGCTGCATTGTGCCTCACATTTCTTATGTGTGAAATGAGGGTGATAATAATCATCTGTAAGAATGGGAGCTGGGATAATAATGTACTTAGGAGTACCTAGATCTTAAGGTTGTTATGAGAGTGAGTTAATTTTTGCAAAGTGCTTAGAGCAGAGCCTGGTATGCAGTAAACTCACTGCCTAACCTCTCTATTGGCCCTCGATCAGGATTCCAAATGCTGCCATGTATTTATGCCCTTTAAACATCTTGTATGCAATTAAAATAGCTGCACTTGAAGCACCACAAATTCAGTGAGACACCAACTCAAACGAGGATCTGCACTGGGGGGAGTCTGGGAGCACCCAGATGGCCGTGGGCGATGCTTTCTTAGCAGCAGAGCCCAGTGGAACTGAAACAAACGTGCTGTCTGAGCCAGTCCGGTCTGCTTTAGGGAGAAGACTTTCCAGTAGTTTCCATAGTCATTATCAGGGGTTTTCTCCGGTTAACCATGAAAACACCGAAGTGGAGGAACGGTCATTATCTTTTCTGAGAAGGAAAGGCTGTCATTGAGAATGTTTGAATCTTCTCAGCTGGCTCAAAGCAACTAGAGGTTTATTTGGGCAGTTTTCTGGACCTAGAGCAAGGTGCTTAATTGAAGACACACTTTAAAGAGCTTCCCCGTTGCTTTGGAATGATTACCAAGGTGAGGCTAAGAGGAGGGAGGGCACTTTTGGGTCCATGTGACATGAGGGTGGGTGACCATGGTTAAGTCACAGGGCTCTGCACTTTCTCCTTAGTTCAGTGGCTTGGAACAAGGGGCCTCTGCTCTTTTCTTTGTCTAGATTGGTGCCCTTCTTCTCCTCCTCGCCAACCTGCTCCATTCATTCATTAATTTCAAAGTATCTGTTGAGGGTTTACTTTGTGCCAGGCACTGGGGAGGCAGTGGGAAGAGTCCTTCCAGTAACACTACAGAATCATCCTTAAAAAATTAACATTGATGAAATGTTTCTCAAACTTCTCATTGCTTTATCTTCACCCCTCTCCCAATCAGTCCTACTCATCCACCCCCTTCAGATATTCCAGTGCACTCCAACTCATGGCCAGCCGAGACCGGTTTGGCTCAGTGGATAGAGCGTCGGTCTGTG